AATGCCAGCTATTTTCTAGTGATTATGTGGTTTTACTCACTTGGAGCATTCGAATTGGTGAATTGAGCATTGATAGGATCCAGTCTCTTTCCAAAAAGCCCATGGAATTTGATAATTCTGAAAGTGGTTTAATGCCCATGAAACCCGGAAGAAATTGCAATCAATGAATGACAATCACTTGGGATTTAGTCGAGTTGCCTGAGGGGTCAAAACAAGTTGGTTTGTAAATGGTTTTTAACAACAAACGGGGACTCTAAGGGCAACATTGAAAGAATAAAGGCCAGACTTGTTGCTAAGTTACACTCAGAAGGAGGCATTGATTATAAGAGACCTTTTCTCAGTTTCCAAAAAAGGACTCTTTAAGAATTATTTTGGCTTTGTGGCTCATTATGATCATAGAGCTCAACCAAATGGATGTAAAGAACGCCTTTCCCTTAAATGGTGACTTAGAGGAGAAGTATATATGGACCAAACCAGAGGGTTTGTGGTCAAAGGAAAGGAAAACTTGGTGTGTAAGATTAAAGAAAAGTCAATATATGGACTAAGCAAGCTTCCCTGTCAATGGTAAATCTTAGTTCCAATAATACCTCACATTCATAATGGTTTTATAGAAACATTGTTGATCGGTGTATTATATGAAGGTCAGTGGAGCAAGCTCATTATGTTAGGTCCTATAAATGGTTGGATGACATTCTTCTTAGCTCGTGAATGATGTTGGGTTGTTGCATGATGTAAAGGGTTTTCTCTCTAAGAACTTTTTGAAATGAAAGATATGGGAGAGGCAATCCTTTGTCGATTGGAAAGAAATATTCCGTGATAGAATCACAAGACTATTAGGATGTCTCAAAGAGCTTACATTGATAAGGTATTAGAGAGCATTCAGATGAAAAATGCTCCGCAGGATAGTTCCCAATTTCAGAAAGGAGATGGTTATCAGCGAAGTGCAATGTCCCTAAAATAATTTGGAACATAAGAGATGGAGCTATTCCATAATGCGTCAGTGGTTGGGAGCTTAATGTATGTTCAGACATTGTACTCGACCGGATATAGTTCGCTGTAGGAATTTTTTAGGGCGATATCAAAGTAACCGGATTTGGAAAACCCCCCATTGGAAAGTCTGCAAAGAAAGTATTAAGATATTTACAGGCACTAAGGATCAATATACTCACTTATAGAAAAGTCCACACCATCTAGAAGTGGTGGATACTCGGATTCAGACATATGCCGATTGTGTAGATTCGAGAAAAGTTACATTTGGCTACTTTTTTCTAGCTGGAGGAGCCAGTATCATGGAAAAGTGGAAAAACAGTCTGTCATTGCTACTTCCACTATGGGGCTGAATTTGTTGGCCATGCTTTGAGGCCACTGTTCATGTATTGTGGCTTGCGAACCAAACTTTGTCTCAGGTCTAGGCATTGTCGAAGTATAGTTTAGACGTTGAGAATTTACTGTGATATTCTGCAGACTGTCTTCTTTCTCTAAGAATGATACGTACTCTAAGGGTGCAAAGCAACATGATTTAAAGTATCCTATCTGTGAAAAGAAGAAAGTGCAAAAACACAAAATGTCCAATGAAGCCATTCGGTACTATCTGATCGATAGCGGATGCCGTTACTAAAGGCCTTACGCCCAAATCTTCATGGCTATGTTGATAGGATGGGCATTATAGATAAAGTCCTTGTTACATGATAGTTTAACTTGGTATATAATATTATATATATCTATATATCTATATTATATATACATATGGTGTTTTGCTCATATTATTGTGACACTTTGGGAATTCAATTAAAAGATATATTTTTGCTTATTTATGTGTTAAATCCACATTATAGATGTATACAATAATGTTTGAGTGAGATAACAATAACAGTTGATTGTAAATAATGTATTTGTTTCTGTTGAATAGTTTTCTCCATTAAAGTTTTTATGAATTGGAAGTGGTCTATGAATATATGGAAGGATCAATGTCGATTAATGACTTGTGACCGGCATATACCGATCATCCTTAATTCTTATAAATTAAGGTAACATGATAGGATTTAAGAAATGCACATGGGCGCAAGTGGGAGATGTTGATTATTTAAATAATCTATATCGTGAACCATGTGATTAAAGGGCTTGTTCTAATTAAGGTGGCCCAGATGATGGTTATTGGGATTTTAATGGATAAGAGCCAGTTAGGGTTTTAATACCTTCCCCTGCTTATAAAATAAAGTAATCAACAGATTAGGGTTAAAAACAAGAGAGTGTGACGGCTCCCTTCAAACACATACGGAAGATCAGTTTTTTGAGAAGAGCTCATAAAAGAACTCCGAGCTGTTAATTAATTCTCTGACATTAAGAAGCTTCGGACAAAAGGCCAGAGTCGAAGAAACGTAAGATCTTGTTGTTTACGGATGACAATCGAATTCCCAACGAGGTAACCCATAACATAGATCTGGGCCGTTATGGATCAATTACGCCTTCCGATATTTATATCTGCCAAACAAATTCTATGAACATAGATCGGGCTATATTAAAGATTAATTAACACCCACAAACTCATTGGCACTCCACATGAATTTTGGTGACATTTTTAAATATCAATTTGCTTCATAATGTAATAGTTTTCTATGTATATTTGATTTTCAGAATAATTGAATGACATGATTTATCATGCAAAAATGATTTACCGGGAGCATTTAATTAAATGCAGGTTTTGAAAAGATTGCTTTTTTTTTTGCGTTTTTTTTTTTTTTTTTTTTGGGAGGCGACTTTGTGAATATGTTTCAATAGCGGTTCACAAATTTTTATGTTTTAAGTGTGACTATAGATCAATGATTATATGCAACATTTTGGCCCTTTTGTGAATATTTACTAGATGAGATTGAGTTTGTTCATATATCTTTTTTTTTCCCTAATTACAATGTTATTTCATTGTTTTCTAACTTTATTTTGTTCAAGAACCTCTAAAGTTTTGTTCTGATTTCTTTCCAGTATCTAAACCTCTTAGATGTGGTGGAATAGAATAGATTAACCATGTCATGTTTTTAGCTTGGATCTTAATATATATTTTGTTTTTTCCAAACTCTTATGGAACCTATTTTATTATGCAACTTGAAGAAGGGATCATTTTGTGTTTTTGCTGGAAGACAGGTTGCTAATTGAATCCACCCTTGAAGCTGTTATCAAGTGCAGCAAGTCACTGACAGCAAGCTTCTGCATATGTGAAGTATGGTAAATGAATAAAATAAATGTATCATTTTTTTTTATTGGCGTATATTGACATTATGAATTTCTTTCAAGTGATTCTAAATACAAGAGCAACTTTCAGAGTATAGTATTAATATTGCACTGATAAGAAAGGGAAAGTTGAGTTTCCTTTTTAACCTTTTCCCCTTTCCACTTCTTAATATTCTTCAGGCATTTCCATAATTTTATTTTTTTTTACTAGGGTGCTCTTAGTTACTCATGGTGATTTTGGGTCAATAGATTTTTTACTGTATCGGTGATTATATTTATTGAGGAGGTTAAATTGTCTATTAGGTTTGGTTTACTTATTTTTGTTTTCTTTTTTTAAAATATGTTTTCCAATCTGAATGACATCTAATACAAGTAGCAAGGAAACAAAAAAAATAAAAAAAAAAAAAAAAATCAGATGGAAAGAAGAATAGTTTAAAAAAAAAAAAAAAAAAAAAAAAAAAATCAGATGGAAAAGAAGAATATGTTTAGAGCACAGATAATGTCTTGCACACACACATTCATATAGTAGGACATGTCAAAGATTCATTTATAATAATTACCCTTGGCTAAACTATTATTTTCTTGAAAATCCTTTTTGACCGATTATTTCACATCATAGTAGGAAAAACAAAAGGGAAAAACTTGACAAGTGTGTCAAAGAAAGTTGGTGGATTTCTGTGATGTGCTTAAATATTCCAATTAGTAAGGCAAATGTGAAAAAGATTGATAGGACTGAACAAAATCTTATATTATTATGTCATTTGAATTCATTTTATAAAATATAATTGCTCGATTGTTTGTTTTCTTTAGGAGGAACTAACAGTAAAATTATTGGAGTTTTTGGAATCCCCACACGCTACAATTAATGTTTTGCTTGCTGATAAAGAAAAAGTTATAATTCTTGAACTGGTTTGGCTATATTCTAGAATATTAGGCAGTATTTCATTGTTGGATCGATGGTGGAATTTGGTGCTCATTATGATTTCAGAAAAGCAAGAAGCGCAAAGTTACAGAAAACAAAAATGTAAGCCCTGAAGAACCATCAGTTACACCAACCAATGTTTGTATTCCGTTGCTATTTGTGCATGAAAAACTATTATAACGATATGTGTTATATGTATATATTTTCTGGATGCACATTGATCTCTAATGCTGAACACAGATTTGGTATATTTCTGAAAAAGGTGTTGTTACTATCTGCTAGAAGTTTCTTTTTGAATCTATGCAAAAAATACTCCCATATCAAAACATGAATTAGTCATTTTCTGTCCTTTTTTTTATATTTTATGGTCAAACATTAATATGTTTTAGATAAGAGAGTGTTGATAACTTGATTGTCAAAAAGGTTTATGCCGATTTTTTTGCTTGTTCCAACTTTATTGGGCGGTTTAAGTAATCATCTATTGTATCAACATTCAGTTAATATATTTTTCTTTGAATGATTTTGATTGGAGTCAAAACTCGAATGAGCCATAAGTTGCCCATGCAGGTGTGATATTGTAATGCAAAGTTGGTAGCTTGCATTTAATTGGAGAGGGGTTAGACATTCAGATTCGAAATATATATGCTCGGTTGCTGACTGACATGGCTATGGTCATCTGCCGAATGTGAAACTATATTTTACAAATGTACTGTGTAATTTATTATAAATGTAAAAATATACTGTATAAATTATTATAAATTTATAAATTTATTTATTATATAAATTCACTCACGGGAAAAAAATCACCTGCCGCATCGCGGGACCATGAACCTAATGGGATCTAATTTTTGACACGGATCAATTCTCAAACTAGTCAAAATATGGACCAACGGAATCCGCCAGTGTAGAAAACTTCACCCTTACATCTTAATCTTATGCCAAACACGCGCAAAGAAAGTGGCGTGGACAGAAAATGGAAGACCATAATGGAAAGCACATAAAATACTCATTAGTTACTGGGACCCACCAACTGCCGAAGAGGAGCTGTAAGTGGGGACAAGGAAACAAAAAAAATATTTGGAAGAAACGAAGGTTTCTTTCAGCTTTTCAGTGCCTTGCTACTCTGTACTTTCATCAGTTGTTAGTTAAAAACCAACTCCTCTTCACTGGATAATATGAGTTTTGTCCGGTGAGTTTTGTCTCGCCGGCAGATCAATCTCGCCTTTCTCTCATTCCGGCAGCTGTAAGACCAAACACATTTTCTTTTATTTCCTACTTGACTTCCTCTCGCATTCCTTTCTCTCATTTCCTTGCTAGAAGTTTTACGCTTCTCCTCCTCTTCACATAGTCTCTGGCAAGGTGGCGCGTGACGGCAACGCGTTTCTGTTGAAATGTCGATAAGGCATTTTTGATTTCTGATGTCTACTGCGAACTGAGCAGGTATAAAAAAAAAAAAAAAAAGAATCTTTATCCTCTTTTTACACTTGTTTTCGTGGAAGAAGAAAGGAATCTCAATGTTCTGGGGTAGGATTTTGTTATATTAAGAAGTAAATAAAAAGAAAAGAGAAATTTATAAGAAACTAATATTTACTTTTATAATTGCCTTTTGTTGTTTGACAAACATTGCATTTTATTTTGTCTGTTTTGAAATTTACATTATAAAAAAAAAAACAAAAAAAGAAAGGAAAAAGGTATATATATAATGGGTTGTCTCTGTTATTGAATCATTTTGCTTTTTATTGAGAATTGGAACATTCATTTCTCTAAAGTGATTCTTGTGTTTTTGGTGGTGGATTTGATTGGTCAAAATGATCTTCGGATTGAAGCTTTATGTACAGTTAGTCTTGTAACAAAATCCTTCATTACTTCATTAGTTACTTACATGATCTAAGAATCAACTTTAGTAAGGTGCAGAATTATTTTTATTGCATTTGTAAATTACAATGTGTTTTGAATTCCCTTTGGTCAATGCTTTTGGGATGTAAGAGTTCTCTTTAAGCTGAGTAGCTAATCTAATGTGCTAAAAAATAAGTTATTATTTTCTAAAATGGGTTTATAAGTTTTGTTCCTCGTTCTTTTAACTTTTGTATATATCCAAGATTCTATTTTCATTGTGCTGGGTCAATTCTTTTTTCAAATGGATGTTTGTCCATAGTTATGGAAATGTTCACACTTCCTAATCAAATTTTGTTTATTGATATACTATAGACAAGGTAATCGGAAAGTGATTTGTGCATGGAAGATGAGCATTTCGTGGTTGGTGTGAATGTTTTTGGTTGTTGATTGACTGATGAATTGAGCTTATGATTCTCAAGGGGCTAATGGAAATGATCTGTGTTCTTTGTCCCATTTACTGTTGAGGCTTTTTACCAAGAAGATTATATTTTAACTTTAGTGAATTGCAAGGCATGCCTCAAGCTCAAAACTAATCGAGGCAGATACTTTATTGCCTAAAAGCACATGGCAATTCTTTAGCTGCAAGGTGCAACTTGTGCTCCTCTGTTATATATTGACTGCTATTCTTGAGGTTATGTTGTTTATACTGTTTATAGTAGGTTATACTAGTTTATGCTCTGTCGTAACAGTCAATTCAACAGAAAGCAACAATACAAGAATGAACTAGTCTTAACCTCTCTCTCCTTTCCTCCTCTACTCTACTCTTCTCTATTTGGGACTCATTCCAAGTAGATAGACACTCACATTCTTTTTGTCTAAAACATCAACTCTAATATTTTTATCTTATATTTTTTCAGCTCTACCCTGGTTTGTAATATTGATTTTAGTCACTCGAGCACTAATAATTCTATGAGATATCTTGTATGGAATATATGCTTGTTAAATCCAAAGAAAAGGGATTGTCAACTAAGTATTATTTGTCTTATGAATATGTCATGCGAATTTTGAATTTTGGCAAATTTTATTTCTTGTGTCTCACCTCTCAAAGGCATGTGCTTGTTCTTTGCTCCCACGTTTTAGGATCCCTTTGCATCTAATTTGAGCTTGTGCCTTTAATAGTATGACTTGAATTCTGTTGCAGTCTATTTCAAACAAGAGTTGTCTGGTGATGAATTGTAATGTAGAGAAGGAAGTTCAGCATAGCAAGAGAAATAAAGATTACCTTTGAACTTCGGCAATTCTTTGTTTTTATTGGTTTTCAGTACAATGTATTTTGTTCAATTGTTTGTTACTTTCGTTGGGTATTGCAGTGTCATTTTCTTGAACATTGTCAATTTAGTTTTTCCTTTTTACACTCTATATGCAATCAAATGCAGGGTTGCTCTTAATGGAAGCTGATTTATTATCTTGCAATCATCATCTTTCTTCAGGAAGGCAGTTTGTGCTGAGGCGAATGTAGAGATCATTTGACTACAATATTGAAATGGTTGAATCTATGAATGGTATGTACTGGAATGATAAACAATTATCTATCACAGGTTCTTCCGATCATTATATTTGCATTGAGCGAGTTTATTCAATTACCAAATGTCTTTCAAGATGCATGCAGGTTCTGGCCTTGTCTTTTGCTCATAATTAATTATGGTGGAAATTTTTTATTTTATTTGGAGTTATTTTTAATAAAAACAGAGAACTGGATCATAAAGGGAATTATAAGCAATGTGGTAAGTAAAACTGCTAGAATAAAGATGTATTGAACTGATAGCATTATCTTTAGGCATGGCTGTTTTGCTTGCATTTCCAAACATTACCTGTTTGTTGTCATGAAGAATAGCCTATTTATTCTGACTTCCTACTTCATTAGTTAATTTTGAAAAAGATTTGGATTTTTTTACACCCCATCTAGTTTTTAGCTGGGTCTGACCGTCTGAGTGCAAACTTGAATCACATAAACCCAGAAGCATTTTCATCTAAAAGAACCATCAGGAAGAACAACTATTCTCCCTTCTTTTAATTAGAGGATATTTTGTCCTTTTGTTGGGAACTTTTCATCTAAAAACGTTTGAACTTTAAGTTTGACTATGTCCATGCTTATGTTTATTGATGGAAGTCAATTGCTGAACCTTAGTAGGTTTAAATAGTTTGTACTTTAAGTGTGTACTTGTGTCTATTAATAGATATCAAGGGCCGAACTTTTTGAGGTTTAAAGTTATCACTTGAGGATGAACTCTGGATAATTGATCGAATCTTTTGCAAAGTCAGTGATTTATTAATCTTTGCCTATAAAAATTTCCAATTTCCAGATATTTGATCAAACTTAGTTGAATCCTTAAGTTACTTATTTTTAAGGGATTTGACATGGGGATGGAAACGTGGAACAGAAAGCATCTCCGCATTTTGCTTCTTTCCATTAATTTTCTAAAATCTACCTCCCTTCACGAAACTTAGATCTGCGCACTGGTATTAAAGGCCATATGCTCAGATAAATTGGCTTAATAAGTGGGGAAGTTTTGGAATCATCTTGTATAACACCAGTTGACTTGAGCTCTGTCCAGTGCTAATTTACTTTTATATCAGTTAATTACTTTGTTATATTTCATTATGGGATTTATTTCCCGAGGACCATCTCCAGCAAACCAAGTAGTCTTCTCTAGTCTCCCCCACCGTAGGCTAAAGAAATCGAGCATTATTGTCTCAATATCATATGTCACTTTTATAGGGATCTTAAAGAGGGACAAATAATATAGAGAAATACTGCATAAGCAAGCCAGAATTGAAGTAGTGCATTCCTTAACAAAAACGAAGCTCCTTCCTAAGTATTTAATCTTTTTACAATTTGCACCCTGCTAACAAATGAAGACTTGAAAACCCCCTTAAGTTAAAATGAAAACTACAGCGTAAAATTTCCTTATTTTTGGACAAGAATTTGGTTTCATCTGCAAATTAATTGAGACATGATGATATTGTTTGAAACTCTTTTGACACCCTGTATTATCCCTCTCAAAACACCTTTCAATCTAAATAGTTAGAACATTAACCACTGGAGTAAAAGGAAAATGAGTTTCCTTGTTGCATGCCTATAGAGAGGCCTCAAATCAACTCTTTGGTTGATAATTAGGGATGCCTATACGAACCAGGAAACCAAACACTCATTAATCTGCTTCCTTTATCTTGTCCATAAACATTGACATTGTCTTGATTTCTTTAATTGATATTGCTTGTTTTCAAACATCGTTGTAAGTAGAAGGAACATAAATTTGGATCGGAAAAACACGACAAGGATCTGCACATTAGGGTAAAAAGAATGATAGGGCAAGAGTGAACTTAATGGCCTAAACAACTATGATAAACAGCCTTGGGTGGGTTATGAAATGTCTTAAATATTTTCTAGTCTCCACTTTTCTTTTCATTTATAGAGCTTTATTTGGGAAGAGGCTACTAATTCTTGGGTTTTGGGACATACAATTTACAAGGAGCTACATTTTCTTGGAACTTTCAGCATTGAGGAAAGCTTTTAATTCTTGAGATTTTTAGAGAGCTTAACTTGGAGTGAAGCTTTTAATTTTTAGAATTTTGAGAGAAACATGTTATGGGAATTAGGCATGTGAGCAATTGGTTTGACTTTTTGGTGTCCACTGATTATCAAAATACATTTACTGAATTGTTGTTGCAGCAGTGATGAATAGTGAACAATCAACATGTTAGAGATTTTTGGATTGTAAAGAATATTGAATCAGATTTTTGGCTGTTGGATCTAGCCGGGTTGATTGTGCATAACTTTGTCTTAGGTCTCTATCTCACTTCAAGTGCTTTTACTGCTAATTATCTGATTTACAAGATGGCATACTGTGTACTATTTTGTTTACTTTGCCATCAACAAGTGTTAGAAGTAAGGAAGATCTTGTTCTGTATGTATAACTTTTTCTATGCCATCTTCTATTGTGGAGGAGATTTTTTTTATTCGTAAGATTTTTATTATGATAACAAAATATTGGTTTATTAAATCTTGCTGCTTTTGTTTTAAATTTTACCATGAATTTGGCACCTTTTTGGGATAAATATTACTGTATTTTTTCTTTGTAAGCTCATGGTACTACCAAATTCATAAATAGGATTATTATGGCTCAGGTTTTTCCTTCATAAATAGGATTATTATGGCTCAGGTTTTTCCCGAAGTGATTTGGAGGGCTCAGCTTCTGGACAGAGTTTGGATGGAAGTTTCAGGAAGTCTAGCTCTGGTTTGTGATAACATTTTATTGCTTATCTTTTAGTTTCATTTTTGTTCTCTTTTGTTGTTACCTTCTTCTCAATTATACATTTGTCTCGTGAAAATAGTGAAATTGTGAATGTTTCAATCATCTTCTGGCTTCTAAGAAACAAATTCTTGTTTTCAGAATTTCAACTTAGGAGATGATTAGGACGAACTCAATTTAATGCATAGGCTTTAATTTCATATTTCATATTTTAAGGCACCTTGAGAAGTCTTATAGAGGATCCCATAAATGGCGAGAAAATATCTTTGGTTTCTATATTTGCTTGTTTATTTCTTTGGCGATAAAGAAATATGCTATTGGAAAATACTAGAAGAACCATGGAGTGAAATTGCAAAGCTTAAATTATAAACATTAGTTTGATGCCAATGGGACAAAGAAAACAAATGAAAGAGAAAATGAAGAGAGAAAAGAAAAGCAAGAAAAATATTTCTATACTAAAGTTAGTATAAACAACTCTCTATAGCATGCAAGTCTTTGAACGGTCAAGTGTAATTTCCCATGCTCATTTAGTAAATATTGAGAGGTTTTTCTATCAAATTAGCTTGTATATTAAAATATTGTGGCGACTGGTACTCTGGTGACGATATAAAGGATACCATTGATTGTTATTGTGCATCAATAACCAATTAGCTTCCTTTGAAATAATCTTCCCCACCTTCACTTGATTAGTAAAAATTTTTTCAATTTCTGAATTCTTTCCATGCAATGTATTAATATTTGTCGTTTTCTGCCATATGTTAAAGTTTGGAATTAACAATGGCATATGAATTTCCATTGGTGCAGTTATCTCTGCCCGTAGTGTATCTAGCATTACTTACTGCTTCAAGCAAGTTCCACTTCCTACTTCTTTAGAAGGGTACTCAAGGCAACTAAAAGACTATGGAAAGAAACTTGTCAACCTTGAGTTATTTAAACAGAGTCTTGAGGACTGGATTTTGGAAAATTTTCATGCAGATTCAGGCAATTGATCAGTCTTTGCAGATCTCCCTTCTCAATTGATGAGTTGCGGAAAACTTGATTTTTGGCATTGGCAGGGTTGTCCTATTTTCAGCACTATGCCGTATGCCTTGCTTACCTTATCTTCTTGATGATGCCAAAAGAAAGATAAGTATTTTGCAATAGAAGATTTTTCTCATGCTATTGTGGAATGTCTATGGCGTACTTTCTTGGCAAAAAAGTGGGCCATTGCCATTCTTTTTATCTTTGTCCCTGTTCATTCCTGGATTTCAAAGTTTACGCTCGTACAGAAGGCAATATCAGGGGAAGGCTTGAAGAGCTTTGGGGTTTAGCTTTGATGTCAAAAAAACTGGATGATCACAAGTTCATTGGGGTCAAGTTTGTGAGCTTGCCTTGATTCAGATCAGAATTATTATCAGATAACGATGTTTAAAAACTATCTGCCAGCTGCATATCTTGTGAAGCCCTCTTTGTTTATGGCCTTCATATAACTTATTGCCCTCTTTTATGGCCTTCATATACTTATTGCTAGGAGTTTGAGCAAGCTCAAAACAATTAGCCATGATTCTGTTTTTATATTGGTTTTTGACTCTAAATTCGGTGGTGTGGTGAAGCTTGGAGGTGATCTCAGTACACTTGAAGTGAAGTCAACAAATCCATATCAATCTGTTATTGAATGGATTAAATGTCATGCTGAAGTTAGAGTTTCCACTGTTGACCGGGTTTGGAACAAGCTAGGTAATGCAAACTGGGGGGACCTAGGAACTCTGCAAGTACTTCTCGCAACTTTCTATTCCATTGTACGGCGGAATGGGCCACCAAGGAAATCAATAGCCTCTTTGGCCTCAGATCATATTCGCCGTCTTCAAAAGCGCAGGTTAGAGTCCTGCCTTAGTGAAAATGAGAATGCGCTGGTACCTTTCCAACAAATGGGACATCAAGGAGAGATTATTGAACTTAACCAAATTGACGATCCTTCCAGAAAGTAAGCATCGCGTTTGAAGCTTAGGCAGGGTGAAATATTGATGTTGGATGACCAGCAGCAGGGGCATAAGTGTTTTCAAATTCAGGATTCTTTGATTGGAGGACATTATTTTCTCTATAATGCTGTGTCTTTAGACTGTCCAACAGAGCTATTGACTTTATACATAGGTGCCCATCCACGTAGACTGGAGCCATCTTGGGAAGATATGAGTTTGTGGTACCAAGTGCAGAGGCAAACAAAAGTACTGAACATCTTGAAGCAGCATGGAGTTGCAAGCAAATATTTACCAGAAATTGTTGCCTCTGGCCGAATTTTGCATTCTGGTCCATGTAACAAGCAGAGCCCTGGGGGTTGTTGCGATCCCCTGGGGGTTGTTGCGATCACCATGGTGCGGACCCCAATACTTGTGACATCTCCTGTTTGGAAGCAACTCTCTTTCATTGTAGCTCAGGGATGCTCCATTTCATCCGAGGACGGCAGTTAAGATGTTGCCGAGACTGCCTTTCTTGCTCTGCAAAATCAGCAATGGCTGGTGTGCCAACATGGTTGATATATGTCCTGAGAACATAATGTGTTGTTGACTCCCAAAGGGCAAGAAATTAGATTCTTGGTATGTAAAAACCAATTTCCTGGGGGACGTTTTTTTGGGCAGGTATAGAAGATTAGGGAACAGCCCAGGAATAAACCTACAGCAGTTATAGAAGATAGGGACAGCCCAGGAATAAACCTACAATTCTCTTCATCCCATGCGCTTCAGCATGGGAAGCTTTGTCCATCATCTGATGCTGAAAGCCTCATTTACCTCCTTTTTTTTCTTAGTGGAGGGACTATGCAGCAGCAAGATCTATTGAATCAGCATTGCAATGGAGGGAGAGAAGCTGGGCAAAGCGTTTGATTCAGCAGCAACTCAGTGAGGTTTCAGCTCTTTTAAAGGCATTTGCTGATTATGTAGATAGCCTTTGTGGAACTCCATACCCAGTTGACTATGACATTTGGTTAAAAAGGCTAAATAGGGCCATAGACGGCTCAGCTGACAGAGGTAAAATGGTGGAAGAATTATCATACACACTAAGATTAAAGGATGTTGCAGAATCTTCAGGAGCTGCTGGAGGTGGCATTTAAATACAGAGCAGATGATACTTGCTTTTGTAACTTAGTCTGGCTGATTTTTTGGTTAAATTTTCTTCAGCTAGCTTTCGTTATTCTAGCACGTAGTTGAGACGCTATGGAATTGTTTTTTGCTCGTTAAAATGCCTTTTGACTTGAGAATATTACCCCCTCCTCCGGATTTGAAAAGTGGGGAGATAGGACATGCTATGCTCCTCTCATCTTGCACGAATTTTGCCTTCATTGTATATCGCATTGACATGACAAATTTGAGATGCATGCAATGCAAATTTTTTTTTTTTTTTTTAAATAATGAGAGCCTAATATCCAAATTTTGCAAGTTTTGCTGTTATATATGTTTTTAGTTTTTTTTTTTTGGTTTAAAAGTTTTAATTGAACCAAACTTATGCTAGCTATTTATAAAAAATTCAAATCAAATCATAATAGGACTTAACTAAATTAACACATATAAGTTGTGGCTCAATTGGCAACACAGGCTGAGGATGTGAAAAGACTCTCGGTTGGCAGGGGATGTGGGAAGACTCTCGGGTTCATTCCCCACTAAACGCACCTGCAGGAAAGAGCGATGAGCCTTAACTGTGATTAAGTCCCAAGCCAAATGAGGAGATCATCGCCTCAACTGTAACTAAGCCCCAAGCCGAATTAGGATGTCACAGTAATGAGTCCGGACACTGATAGTTTACACCAAAAAAAAAAAACTAAACTTATAGATAAGGTTCGGTTTAGTTAGTTTTGGCAGGAATTTCAAAGAGAATAATAATATACTTTATATAAATTACTTATAATAACAAGATTACTTATAATAATCTTAGTAAAGTGTAGAATAACGGGATTACCTGTAATAATCTTAGTAAAAGCGTAGAAATTCTAAAATATCCTTAGTTATTGGATAATTGATAATGGTTTGAATTTATTAAATAATTTGAGTTTTTAATAATTGGTAAGTTAGAGTTTTTTTAATACATTTGAATATTTTATATTTTATTTTAAATATTTGATTGTATTTTAATTATAATTTAAATAACATTAGCGATAGTCAATTTTTTTTTTTTTTTTTTAAATAACATTAGCGATAGTCAATTTTTTTTTTTTTTTTGAAAATTATCATTTAAAATTTTTTTTAAAATTTTATTTTATTTTTTAAATCAATTTTTTTTTTTTTTTGAAAATTATCATTTAAAATTTTTAAATTTTATTTTATTTTTTTAAACTTTACCGTTAAGCATTTAAAACTTTTAAATTTTTTTTATTTTTTTAAACTTTACCGTGTGGCATCTTCTAAATACAAATGTGGGAATAGGGAATAAGGGGATTTCAATATCGCCCTTAATGAAATTTAGAATATTTAAAATAGTCTTAGTTATAGCCAATTAAAAAATTACATTTTAATAATTGATTAGATGTAATTTATAAAAATTATTTTTAAAATAAGTACATATAGATAATTAAGAATTTTAAAATTTTAAGTTGTATTAGTGCTATAACCCACGTGATGCGCATAGCAATATTAAAGGATGAAATAATCTTTTATAATATCATTTAAAAATAATAAAATTGTATAAAAAAATGATCATAAAATGCATTATAAAATTGTATCTTATTGAAATAGACAGAAAAAATTGTAATGCTAAGATGTGTCTTCTTAAATATCATGCGAAGCCTTTCATTAAGGTATGTAATAACAAAAGTCATGCATGATATGACCTACATAAAAAAATGCACACACACTATTAACGTGTTTTTCAATAGTGATAATAATTTTGAGAATTTAACTAATTATATTGAAATAAGAAATTAAGTAGTTTTTATTTTATGTTTATGATTTATTATAAATGATTGTTTATTTATTTGAAATATTAATACATTATACTTATTTAGTATACTATGTTCTATGCATGTGAATGTTCTATTTTTCTAAAAATTATTGTATCTCGTACGTTCCTGTATCTCGTATCCATATCTGTGCAACTTAGCTCTTGGTATATGAGATTACTCCACACACCAAGCTAATCAACCAAGTTTTTTTTTTATTACCAAGAAAAAATGAAGTATTTTTTAAATTTATTTTTGTTTCTTTTTTTTATTAATGAATGATCAAAAATACTCTCGTTACAACTAAAAACATATTTCAATAGTATTAGTAAGTCATTCGTCTTTGTCATACTCTAAAATTATTTTCCATCAGAGAGATTTTTTAATGAAAACTATGATAAATAAATAGAACTGGGAGGAGGTTAACTCTAGGCTGCATATTGATCCGTTCAGTTACCAATAAATTTAATTTTTTTTTTTAAAAAGTCAGTCCAACAACTTAATTTAGAATTGAAGTGTTTTTTTTTAATTTATTTTTATGTCTTTTTTTAATGAATGATCAGAAATACTCTTGTTAAAACTAAAAACATATTTTGGTAGTGTTGGTAAATCATTTGTCTTTGCCATACTCTAGAATTATTTCCCTTCAAAGAGAGATTTTTTAATGAAATCGAATAAAGGTCAATTTATTCTCTGAACTTGTTTAGTAGGATAAAAAAGGTTAGATTTGATATTTTGAGCCAATTTTGTCCTTGAACTTGTATAAAATGATTAAAAAGATTCGATTTCACTTTTTTAAGCCAATTTAACCCTTGAACTTGTTTTGATTTTTATAAATTAATAATTGATTTAATTTAACATGATTGACTTTTTATCCTTTTTGTCCTACATTTAGAATACTCAGATCAAACTTTTCCAATAGTTATGAACATAAATTTTAAATGCATAAAAGCATCATTTCTTGTAATATAATAAATTTATAAACAAGCGTTCTAACTTTAATTTATTCAATATAAAAATGCATAGATTTCATAATCGATAACCCAGTAATAGAGATTAATTTTAAAATGTTCAAATTAATACATATTTATAAATTTAAAACCATCAATCAAGGTAAAGAGAGATACAATATACTTCATATATCATTTTTCTATATTTTATAATTAATTAATTTATACTTTATTAATAATTAATTAATTTTTTAATAAATTAGTCAACTTGATCCCAACTACAGTTTTAATAAATGTTTGTATAATTATTTTCACATTGTAAGTATAATGAAGAATTAGGGATTAAATTGACTCAAAATGTCAAATATGATTTTTTAAACCATTTTAAATAAATTTAAGGATTAAATTGGTTTAAAAAGTGAAATTGGATCTTTTTAATCATTTTATACAAGTCCAAGGGCTAAATTAGTCCAAAATGTCAAATCTGACTTTTTTATTCTGCTAAACAAGTTCAGGGGCCAAATTAACATTTATTCCTAATGAAAACTATGATAAATAAATTGAAATTGCAGGAGGTTAGTTCTACGTTGTATATTGATCAATTCAGTTATCAATAAACTTAATTTTTTTTAAAAAAAAATCAGTCCAATAATTTAATTCAAATTGAAGTGTTTTATTAATTTATTTTTGTATCTTTTTTTTATTAATGAATGATCATAAATACTATCGTTATAACTAAAAACATATTTCGGTAGTCTTAGTAAGTCATTCTCCTTTGCCATACTCTAATTCTCATCAAATAGAGATTTTTTCTTGAAAACTATGATAAATAAATTGAAATGGAAGGAGGTTAGCTTTAGGCTGTGTATTGATCCGTTCAGTTATAAATAAACTTAATTTTAAAAAAATTAGTCCAACAACTTAATTCAGAATTGAAGTATTTTTTCAATTTATTTTTGTTTTTTTTATTAATGAATGATAAAAAGTACTCTCATTACAATAAAAAACATATTTTGAAAGTCTTGGTAATCATTCATCTTCGCCATACTCTAGAATTATTTCCCTTCAAAGAGAGATTTTTTAATAAAAACTGCGATAAATAAATTGAAATTGGAGGTTAGCTCTAGGCTGTATATTGATCAGTTCAGTTATAAATAAACTTAATTTTTAAGGAAAAAAAATAATAGAACAACTTAATTTAGAATTGAAAGTGTTTTCTTTAATTTATTTTTGTGTCTTTTTTTATTAATGAATGATTAGAAATACTCTCGTTACAACTCTTTTTTTATTAATGAATGATTAGAAATACTCTCGTTACCAACTGAAACATATTTCGGTGGGGTTCTTTTGCGTAAGTTCATCTTGTAACAACCCCGCCGCCCGATTCCCGAAAGACCGACGGTGGAATTGCCACATTCAGTGCTGGAGGCACCGTCTCCTAACCTACATATAAAATCATACAAATCATACAATTGTATTATGAATTAGAATTGGACTTAAGTATTCACAAGTTTTAGCAAGTAATAATATTTTGTTTTGAAAATGATTCTGTGGAGAGTCCTACAGAAAATACTGAAAAGTTTCCCCTAAAAATAGGAAGTCGCCAAAACATATGAAATACAAGCACTCCCAAAATTCAAACTTCCAAACCCCCCATCAAACTCCAATATCAACACAATTACCATTTTTAATATTCATTCAATTTCAATACATTCATTTAAACATTATCAAACTTCTAATGCTTCTAACATTAAATAAGTCCAGTTTTATCTCCCAATATATATACACCAAAATAATTTACAATCAACATGCTTAAGTTTATTAAATGAAAATATATACAGTCTCCAAAATGTAATACTTATACATGCCATAATTCTTAGTTACAAAAAAATACTAAGTAACTTACCAAAAATATTCTTCTTCAGCTCTGATGCTACTCTTCCGGTCTTAAGCAGCAAGCACAATCCTCCAATCCTCGCGCGTTTCGATAAAATCAACGCGCTGAGTATAAAAACTCAGTGGTCCTCATAAAACACAACACAAACCAATGTTGCTGATGACAACATACTTTAAAAAAAAATCATTATATACATAAAATCATTTAAAATTTGAAACATGTATTTTACATATGTACACCAACACATCATGCTTTAAGAAACTCATTTGATATTCTTAAATAAGTTATGCGTTAAAAAACTAAGAGTTATTAACCATAATGTATTCTCATTTCATTTCACTTCCTTAAAAAATATTTTATAAGGGCTCACATACACTTCGGAGAAAAAGAAGCAGATAAGTTTTCATAGCTTATTCATAATGGCCTTAGGTCGCCAACCTTTCCATAACATATAGAGCGCGTCCGCCCTAACATAAGACACCCACGTGCCTAGCATATGATCATAGCTTCTTATCATAATGGCATCAAAATCCGAGCATGCTCATCATACATAATAAAATCAGATCATGCATCAAATCCACACCAAGTATATTAGAGCCCAAAAACATTTCTCATAAAATTCATATT